CAGTGCGGACAGCGCTTCATACTTGAACATCCCCGCGGTCGCGTGCGCATATCCCGCGCGTAGCGCTCAGGATCAACAGCAAAGCTGTGCCACGCAATCTTGTATCATGTCTCTCTGGTTTCAGGAAATACGGTATGTATATCTGTACTGTACTAGTCTACCATTCCGAAATCCGAGTAATTCCGAAACATGTCTGGTCCCAAGAGTTTTCGGATAATAGATTGCGTACTGTATAAATACTTGTGCTAAAGAGTAGAGAAGCATATTATTAGTAATTCAGATGTACACACGAGGACACTAGCTTAGTAGCTATACAGTACACCACACTAACGAGTAACGGTGAGGAGCTCGCGAGCTCATGTTGACATATGATAATTGATATCTGTTGGGTACCAATCTGCAATCATCAATGTACCATCTTTAAATAAATAAATAAATAACCATCATTATCATCATAACCACAACCTAATCGTAACTCGGTCATTGATGTGCGAGTTCCTAAGTTAGAAAAGGACCAAAATTTGTTCAACTTCATGTTCGATTTTGGAATTTGTAAATAGGCCTACTCAACCAATTAATCTTGTAACCAGTCATCTCATCTGTAAGACTAATTACCCAAACGTGATTGTTGGGTATGTTCCATGTAAGTTATTAAGCTCTATGTGAACTAACGGAATGTTTAATTTCTCACCATCGCGGCAAACCCACCAACCAAGCAGTAGCCAGTAGGCCTAAAAGCATGCGAGTTTTGTTAGCGCGCTACCACGCCATTTTGAGCGCTCAAACACGCACACAGACTGTAGAAAGCAAGGATTTTGATAACATCTTGCTTCACTAAACATAGTTTTGACAACATATTATTGGCGCTAAACTAGATCTCCGCAAATATAAACTGCAACTCACAACAACCAGCAACAGGTGCCACGAACGAGCTAGCGGAATTCGAAGGAAAAATTACCTCAGCTGGCTTTGTTGTTCGGGGTAACAGTCGCCACAGCTACCGTGTCTATGGCGTTTCCTTGGGCAACAGTTGCCAAACCGGATCACATCGATGCAGGGCAATAGATTATTGCGCCGACCTTGACTACGGGATCTGTTTGATAACTGAGGAAAGTAGAATACACCGTAACTACATTTTAATTATAAGAAATCTTGTTGAAATGCATAAAAAAATCCTCCAAGATTTTGCATAATTTGCTGTTATGGCGAGTAGCGGAACTACTTCTATTTTGCGCACCAGCTGCCTGAAAACGGTGGCGCGGCCTCGCAACGCATTTGTTCGTAGCAGTCACGTGGTTACCGTTAATTTATGGCGCTGATGCAGCTATACGACCTATACGCGTTGTAATACTCAGCTACTAGCAAGAGTTCATTTTTGATCAAATTAATCAAAATGTGTGATAGAATAAATCTCATTTAAATTAGTAAATTCATATATTTTTGTGCACCTGAGTCGTTTTGTAATTTATTTGCTATCAGAAGCGATGAGCAATGTTGGTTGCTATCTAAGGCTGCATATGACCATGAACATAAAAAATACGCTGCAGCGCAAAATATATCTCTTGCTATAGTAAAAAAATATATTTCACAACTACGTTTTTGACACATTAATTGCTTCTAAACTAATCTTGTAGTTTGGCCCTTATAATTGAGTAGACGGAGCAAAGAATTTTCACCGTATTCCCGGGTACGAATCCATATATAACCAAAAAATATATGCATTATTCCTATTAGCATCATTCGTTGAATTCCATTATTTAATAACACTATCGCGTGCATGTACATACGGTGCTTAGACTTGGACAAATGATCAACCTGCTGTACAATTCTCTTAAAGGAACATAAACGAAAAGAACTCATATGAAACTAACACGTAACTAAATATACTGAAAGCCATCTATTTCGACTGATATGCCTGTAATGCGAACTCGTATACGCTTGAGTATCTCCATTCTCCATGCAACTTCTACCGTAACCTGCGCGCGTGAACCGCCTGCGAATTTGTGCAAAACACCATTCACCGCAAATTCGCCAATGAAAATGATATATCATCGATTTCCTCTCGAGTTTGTCAAGCAATACTAACGGCGAACGTCCCATCATATCACGGGAGCGTCTCATAGCTCTGAAAATAATAATTAATAAAGCGTCTGAAAATAATAATTAATCCCGCGCCCAGTAACGATTAGAATACATTGTTAATTACCACTTGACGCAATGCGCTCCACGAGATGGCAGCACTGATTCATTGTAGCGAATAACATTATGGTAATAACTCATATGTAAGGAGTTCACTGCGTACTTAGGAGCCTTTAGTTTCAACCCGATTATATATAACATCATTCACTACTTATAAATAATAACGAGGGTCGAATTCCATTAGATAGAGATAATCCACTTACAATTGCAATTATTTATGAATGATAACCAAAGCGAAATTTATTAATATTAGTTATCCTTTCTGTCCTTTCTGGGTCACTGACATCACGAGTGTCCTCGCTTTATTCGCTAGTTCTAGTAGCACAAGAGGTGGAGAGGAGGATGAGAACAAAGGTCAGGAGGCAGAGCATATAATAAGGAGAATGAGGAGGAGGATGGAAGTAGTGAGGATGAGAAAGAACAAAGGTCAGGAGGCAGAGCATATAATAAGGAGAATGAGGAGGAGGATGGAAGTAGTGAGGATGAGAAAGAGGAGGATGAAAGTAGTGAGGATGAGAAAGAGGAGGATGAAAGTAGTGAGGATGAGAAAGAGGAGGATGAAAGTAGTGAGGATGAGAAAGAGGAGGAGGATGAAAGTAGTGAGGATGAGAAAGAGGAGGAGGATGAGAAAGAGGAGGATGGGGAGGAGGAGGAAGAGGGAAGGAGGTGAGAAAGAGTAAAATAAATAAGAGGATAAGAAAGAGGGGAGGAAAAGGAATGGAATGAAGAGTACTAAGACGAGAAAGAGTAGGACAAACAAGAGTAGGGGACACAAGAGGGTAACACTGAGGAATAAGAGGATGAGAAAGAGAAAAAAGAAAAGCGAGAAAGAAGAGTAATAAAGGGGGAGGATGAGGGGGAGGGAGAGTAGCTTTAGGAGAAAAGGTCATAAAATATGGATGAGAAGGATAGGACGGCATAGAAAAGAAAATTCAGAAGTCGCATAATAAATGGAAAATAGTATAGCAAATACATGAAGATAGTGATGGAAGAGATCATGCAGATTTTGCTGATGGATAAGGGGGTGTGAACAGGGGATTAAAATTAAATAAATTGAAAACTTGTGGGTAGTGGGGCTAGAGGAGGGAAAGATAAGTCGAAAGAACAAGTAGGTGAGACAGAACAGTGACAGAAGCTATACCTGGAGATTAATATCAACAGAATTTTATTAACTTATCACTGCAGGTAGCCTACGTGTCTATATGTGCACGTGACCTTCATTCGCTCCCACTTGATTGCCTCGTGCCCTTCCTTCATTGTCTTTCTACTAGACCCCTACTACTTCTCAAACTCACTTCTCTTCTATTCCCTTTACTATTTCATCAAGTTTGTACTATTTCATATTCCCTATTCTCAACAGCTCGTAAGTGTTTATATTTGGGATACCAATTAAAGGTTTCTATTAATAAACCAGGTACATGCTGACAATATGGACTAGACAAATTAACACACACAAACAGAAGTTATATACATAATTTACTATACACAAATGTAGAACTGTAGTTATTACAATATTAATATAATCAGAAATTAAACAATTGTGCATATTCTGATCGATTAAGATTAAATGAAGACAATGGCTTCTTTTTGAGACTGTCATTCAGTAAACAGACCAGTTAAACTGAAAAATTACAGACCTATACTTAACACATCTTACAGATATTTGGATAAAAAACAGTCAAATTGCAGTACATCTGTTATACAGATATGGCAGTACATAAACTGAATATTAGCTACGATAATCATAATTGTGTTCAGTTAATGTAAATTAGCAAAAATTAAGACACTCCTAATCAAGCCTCACTTATGCCTGAAATATTCTTAGGTTCAAATTATTTTTAAACCAATTTTCTTGGGACGGGGTGTTGAAAGTTTTGATAGGAATTAAAATATCATGTTATACAAAACTTAAAACTGGTTTGAACAATTACACATTTAGACACATCATTCACATTTTGTACAATGTCATGTTTGGACCAAATTAACCTTGTGACTCGCCACTGACTCGGTATGTATTTTCAAGTACAGTCAACTCTCTAAATTTCGAACACCCTCAAAACCGAATCTCACATAAAACGACGATTTTGTAAGTCCCAACACCATCTCAAACGTGCAAGATATGCCTAGAATAGGACCTTATAAACCGAACTTCACAGAAAGTCGAACAAAATGGACAGTCCCATGGGTGGTTGGTACTTAGAGACTTGACTGTAGTGCACATGCTAACAAGGTCAGTGTTGAATCTAGTCAACCAGGCATTTCCTCATGACACACAAAACAAAATCTATACTTCCGTTTTGAAGAATAGCTACTGATACACTTTGCCATCTGACCGAATGCATCCCTTTTACTCCTTGTAATCACAGAACAGCTGTAGCTTCCTCCGATGCTCTGGTATTAGAACCAAACCACTGAAACGACACAATAAAGTAAGACAGCGGTTACACTTAAACATTCTGTGTACACAGCTGTAGTGACTGTTTATACTTCTCATACATATTTTATTTACATGTATAAGTATATAGTATACACGCTTATACATATTTGTACACACTTTGCAATGCTGTGCTTAATATTTCAAAGTTCAACACGAATTCACAGTAAATGTAGATGCAGGTGCGATTTTTTTACCCTGTGTCGACGTACCCTAAGTTGCTGTGAAACGTTGTCACTATTCTGTAGATGGAGCTCTTCAAGGCGGAGCAGAGCACCACAAGTCGCTGGCTGCCGTCCACGTACCCGGCCGAGCTTCTACTAGGTCGCCTCTGTAGTGGCGCCATCACCTTCACATGCTTGTCGAGGGCCTAGTGTGCATATAATTATAATCAATATAAGTCACAATAAAATCAAAATCAACAAGTTATTATTAGTAGCGTAGTTAGTGTGCATGGGAAAACTTACCATATTGCAATCAAGACACAACTTAAATTGAGTAGGAAACTGGGTTCGAAGTTTGCACGTTGAAAATCAACATCGCCAGTCAAAGTAGTGTTCTGTGAGTAACTCACTCAAGTCCAGGCGCAACATGTTTATATGCAAGATAGCGTGTCATAGTATGGTTTTGATGATATGTGCTACTATTCAATGTACTCCAAGCTGACTGATGGTATATGTCAATAGTATAGCATTATAGCTGTTCATCGATGAAATTCAAAACCTGCATCTCTGTCTGTGTGTCACATGTCTGTGTGACTCGGTGTTCACTGACCTGACAGACAGGTGTGGAGATAACTACAAATGTCATCGTCTTCTACGAACATTAACGCACTTACGGCTTGAAGCTCCAGTAAGGATGACACTATCCCTGAGAGGTCTTTCTGAACAACACCATACTCATCTTCTCCATACGATGCAGCGACCAAGTGTGAAAGAGCTAAGAAAAAAACAATTTGCATGTTGAAATGGAAAAAAATGATAATCGGACGATATAGATAGCTCATAGCAGGCAGAAAGCATTTGGTTATGTCAAAAGGAGTTTGCTATTCAAGAGCTTTTCTGAGCTGAGAAACGTGCCATCTAGTGAAAATCCTACTCCTTAGGTGTGGTATAGTAGCAAATGATGTCAACAATTATTCAACAATTTTATCACTTATGACGCCATAATAAGAGTCGGGCTTATGTTTGGAGCAGACGCCATGATACTTGCAGTTATCTCACAACACTGACATGGTATCATTATCATCACAGATTTCTCTGTGATGGGCATTTAATTCCTCAAGTACCAGAAACTTTATGCCATTCACCAATCTACAATTTTAACCAAAAATCTTACCACAAACTAGAAAAGCAGCTTTAAGTGTGGCATCAAATCTATGTTAGCACATACTTTTACAGAAATTACGATTTTGACATTTCCCTTGAGTGAACTTTATATGCAGGCCTAACTGTGATTGAATATTATACAACTGCTAGCGTATTTGCATTCATGCTTGTACAGTAAAACTTGCATAAGTCGACACGTTTGAGACCAGCATATCTGGGGTGATACATCATTAGAAGTGTTCCCAACTTTGATGTCATTAATGGTCATAATAACATATATATATATATATAATATAGTATATTATGGTCGCTGGTCATATATTGTTTGGTGGCTTTAATGTGGTTTTAGCGTTAGCGGTTAGGGTTGTAGGGTTCAGGATTATCAATAATTTCATCATTAATGCTCATCCAACACGTTAGGCGGACACTCCTTAATGGAGTTATCACCCCAGATACATTAGGATATATGTTAACGCTCCATTAGGAGTATTCCCAACTTTGATATCATTAATGATTAATGATTAGATGATTAATGATTAATGGATTGGAGTAATCCTACCTTAACCCTAGTACCCTAACTTAAATGACATAAACCACAAACTAATATATGAACCATGCCTATATATATATATGTTATTATGACCATTAATGACATTAAAGTTGGGAACACTCCTAATGGAGTATCACCCAAACAAGGCGATTCAAACAATCTGTCTGCGACAGCCAGCTCGCGCATTCCCTAGACCATACACTGCGCCATCGGCATTTCTGATGAAGACTTACAAATGGGAAATTACTGTTGTTTGTATTACATGAGACTTGTCTGAGGGCGTCGACTTGTACATAATGACGACTTATTAATGTCGACTTAGGCGGGGCTATTCCAATGGATTTACTATGAAAGCGAATCGGGACTTTGACTTCCATGTCGACTTACGCGAATTGACGACTTAGACGATGATGACTTATGCTAGTTTAACTGTACTTATTTTTCTAGGGCTATCAACCAATTATTAAATAACAGGTTATCTACCTTCGATAGACCATACACAGAGCTGAGTCTCACACAGTATTTCAAGTGTCTTTGTTTCTGGCAGATCACTAATGAAGTATGCCACAGCTGGCCTTCTTCTGAAGTCTTCTACAATCTGCAAGGGAAATAAATCCGAATAGCAATGAATTTGAAAGCAAACCAGAGAGCTTTTCCGGCTGAAACATTTCCATAGGTGCACTTAATCTGAATCTTCAACAGTTTGAACAAAAACATACCTGATATACTTTGTAGTGAAGCCATGTCTTGTACACAGGAACACTACCAGTAACCAATGTACCATGAGCTGAAAATCAAGAATGAATTATTTGCTTCACATTTGTAATGAAACGGCACAGCCAAGGTTTGTCACAGTATGGCATTGAAAATGTCTGTGTTGGGTTGCATCTGGGCAAATGTTTAGGGTTGAAAGGAAGCCAAATAAAAAATATAAATATACACACAACAAGTGTTACCAGGCCCATCAGAATTTTAAATTCCAATTAAAATTATAAAATTTTAAATGAGAAATATAGTCCAACAATTGACAAAGTAAATGAAAACTTTTTCTGAGCATTTACCAGGTTCTATAATGCACTAGCATGCATGCTTTGCCTGCTGAAAATAATGATAAAGTATATGCTATGGAGTAGCAAACCAAACATTTGCTGATCCATTGATCCATTCTGACATTATGATTAAGGTGATCTGTCATGCAATATATAGAATACACTTTATAATGCATAAGACGTATGGTGTAGCAACCAATTAGTCAAGCATAGCCATAGCAGCGCGCCAGAGTGATACTCTCCCTGCCACGTGATCACTGTACGTACAGTTGTAGTATCTATAGGGCCAGTCATATTTGCCAGCCTGTCCCGGTGAGGCAGACTTTGCCCTGTAAGGTGTAGCTGCACGTGGAATGCCCTGTCCCTGGGAAGCCGGTGACATGAGCTGGCATTTCAGCGAGTCCTTTGCTGCATGGTGATCTATGAAGGCACACACCAACCTCACTTTACGTTGATTTGACGACTTATTATGCTTGCTAACTTATTAAAACCTGTGTCGTTGCGATGCTATACACACAATGCTTGTTATGCAATGATAATTTTACATTTTTGTCTAACAAAATTTATGTATTGGAAATTGTCACGTAAGAGGCTAGTTGACTGACAAAGTATTTAACCAAACCGCAGAGTTCATGTTTCAGATTGTTGAGCCCTCGGTAAGTGCAGCATATTAAAACTCTCGCGGTAATCAATTACCAGCCACCGACAGATTCAAGAGGTACTACTACAAACGGTTGTCGGGAGAGCGAGATTATGTAAACACAGGCATAATTAACGATTAATGGATACACACAATGACTCACTTCTACTTACACACACCTGCGGTAGTGTAATTGCTTGCCCTGTCACTGCCGTACGACTGGCTCCTACTCTCGTTGAAGAGGGTTAGCTTATTCACATGATGCTCTATGACTGTCATGCACTCTGTCTGTACGTAATTCCAGTTATGTGGATGGCCGCCTGCAATAGATTTAAGCATGTAAAACTCTGATAAGACTATAGAACTTATTGAACGTATTAACTACATTAGAAAATAAATGTCAATACATTGCTGGCAACTTATTAGGAAATGAGATGCAGAATCTAGGGACAAACTCTGGTTTCATCAATTTTTTTTCAACTAAAGATGAATTACCATTATAGAATGATATACAAAAGGGATAATGCAGCACTATATTCTAGTTCTCATCTTTAATCCTTGGAATGCAACAGAATGTGCAATCACACGCCAGTGTTTTTTTAATTCTACAGGGAAAATACTACCTGTCACCCTTTCACGACCTCAAAAAATTCCTTACATGACATAGAAATGTGTATGCCGAAAAGATTACAAACTAAACAAATTGCATGAAGGCGTTATAACAACTGAAAGGAGTTACTGTATTGCGTTATGATGACAGGTCTAAGAGATTTACCAGGCTGAGACAGACTGAATATCTCTCTCCTTCTCTTGGGGGATTGCTGTGAAAGCATCCACAGGTCCAGAAAGCCAAGATACTGAAGAACAGAACAAATATTAAACAACGTTCTTACCAACAACATTTTTTATGCATTGGTAACATGGAATAGCCTGATAGCGGAGCTCCGAGTGGGCCGAAGGCCCGCGAGAGCAGAGCACCACACATATAGGATGAGTGTATTTTTTTGCTGGACTTCGTGGTATGGTACCCCCCATCCCATAGTGCATTGCGCTTAGGCTTGCCTATAATAGTATATATATATATATATATATATATGTGTGTTTTCCATTGTTTCGATTGCTCCATTTCAAAACAAATTGTTGTTCTAGCAACGATTAGCTTGCACGTATGTGTGTGTGCGTGCGTGCATGCGCACATGTGTGTACGCGCGTGAGCATATTATATATATATAATATATATATATATATATATATATATATATATATGCGTGTATATAAAACCCCAATCAATTGTGTATTATAATTACACTGGCATTTCCAGTTGACCTTACGTAGTAACACTCTCTTATTGTCGTGTACAAATGTACGTATCTTAAATTTTATTGGGAGCTCTGCGCTTAGTCTTGCCTATATATATATTAATAGTGAGCAGTCCCTTGAGAGTGTGAGTTTTACCATTTTATATGTTATACCAGCCACCTAACATGACTGATCAACAGGGAAAATTGTGAGAAGTTACAGCGAGCTGGTTTTCCCATTTTTGTTCAAAGAATAATCGCCATTGCCTTACTAGCAGAATGTTTCTGTAAATATAGCCTCTAAATCACGGAAGCACACAATTAAACATTTTGCTATGAAGACCATGTTTGTGCTTCACCTTATAATACTGTTTTGCACTCATGCTAAGCCATACCTTAACAAGAGGATGGGTGGCTGAAAGCGCTTGATGCAGGCACCTATTTCTGTCATCGTGGAATGAGCTCTCAACGGGAAACTGGAAAGGCTGCAACGGAATGACGAATGCAAGATTTTCTCACACACGTCGCATCAACGTTCTCACAATTTTAGAAGCATATGCTGCAATGACGTCAGCATCGTATTACCTAGAGCTAGAAAAGCACACACACACTGCACATCTGTACAGAACTCGACCGTTTAGCTAAAATTCTACGCAACACGTCGACCAAGACCACACTCCCTGAAACCGCTTCATCGAACGTCGCTCGAGCGATCTCCTCCTTCCTCTCCGCCCAACAAAACCCTCCCCCGCCCACGTTGAACGCGCCCGGGGACGCCGTGCGATAACAATCACCTCTGTGACGTAGACCTTGAAGATGTGCAGCGCCAGGTTCCACGTGCAGAGCACGAGGGTGCCGCTCGCCCACGTCGTGACGAGCAGGGACAGGTCCAGCATGCCCCACAGTGAGCTGAAGGAGATGACGTCGCTATGCTGCACGCCCAGCGCCGACAGCAGCAGCGTCTTCAAGTAGCCTCCTGCGCACACCCGTGCGACGTCACAACGCCATCAAACACACATCACGAGTGGAAAGTAGCGTGTGCACGTTACTCGTAAGTGTTTGCGTTACAGGTTTTTTTTAAATCAAAATTATGGCTAATATATATATTGTTGAACCTTCGGGTGACAAGGTTGCTCTTAAACTAGCTAAAAATACAAAACTTATCACACGCTTTCGTGTAATCTTTTGCAGGCAATATTTAGTCATTTAACTTTTAGCCAATGAAGCTGTATTTAAAATTGCTTATAATATAACAATTACTGTGGAAAACGTATTATTGTGTCTTGGTAAAATCGAAAGTGTCAACACCAATGAAGATGTTGTATGGGGGCTGCTGGACAGATCATGATAAATGCATCAGAAAGGGATAAAAATCTCTAGTCACTGGTCTATTCATGTTAAGATTTATTCTTGCATGTTACTATCTAACTACCAGGCGTAGCAGAAGTAGGTAGCCATGCTATGCTTCTTTTCCCCTGTACTGTGGTAAAACTCACCAAATAAGAAATAGAGTATGTAGTAATATCCTAGTCGTCTCGCTGCACTTATGGACGAAGCAATGAACACAGGAACGATGAAGCTCTTCACTTTAAAAAATTTTGTTTGCTGAAAAACGAAAAACCGGAGATAATTAAGCATCGAGCAAAACACGACAGAAGTAGACTTGCATATGTAAATTAGGCCATCCTTGAAAAATTCTATGTTTGCTGTCCCCGACCCATGATTTTTTTAGTGGGTAGGTAAGTAGGTCTTTTTTTGTGAGGCATAATAGTTATTTTAAGTCTGTCCTCATATTTGCCACACATGCTTTGTGTTTCAGTCTTAACTACGAGGAATGTAAGAAAAAAAAAATGGAACCCAAAATGTCCAAAAAAACTTTTGGGTCGCGGCTATTTTCGTGGGTAGGTCGGAGGACAGCAAACATATAATTTTTTAAGGATGGCCTTACATGTAAACGACGATGTAAATTTCATCAAACATGTTTCTAAGAATTACATCAAAGACTTGACTTTAAATATTACCTAAACAGACACTAGCAAAATTTTTGGTGTGATAATATTTTTAGCCTAGTTCACATTTCATGATTTTGTTCGACTGCACTTATACTTTCCAAGTGGTATGACGACATTACTATTTCTGACTTCCTGTGGTATTGTTAGGTACAGTGAAATCACAAATTTGTTTTGCACATTAAAAGCATCTGATTGTGTTATAAGTTAATTAAGACTTAACTTGTGTTATTAAGTTAATTAAGAAACGAAAATTGCAAAGAAAATGAAATACATATATTACCTAAGTCATAATCGGTCATTCAACCTTCTTACCCAGTTTTTGTCCTATGGCTCTTCCCTATTTTTTAATTCAGTATAATGTAATTGCAGTAGCACATACCTGGATTATAGGAAATGAAATGCAGTTGTTGCCACACTTGAAGTACACTACGGAGTAGATGGCTCCCACGAACAATGCATGAAGCACGACAAAGAAATATCGCTCATTCAGACACAAACTGCAAGAAATACATACCACACTTGTATTCAAGCAATATTACAATGCATGCCAACCTACTGCAGCATTCCTGCCAAATTGTGAAACATTCTGATATTGTTAAACAATTAATTTCCTTCTGTAAATGTCCATTATTACAATTAACACAACGTAGATGTCAGCAAAAATCACTATTGTAAAGTGAGGTGATTTTTATCAGTTAACTTTCTTATTGATATTGAACAGAAAAAATTGGCTTTACTCTAAATAAACACTAATTTAGCTCAAATAAGTATTAGCGCTTTCCTTCTAATTATTGGTGGAAACATGTATCCTTGAAGTGATAAAATTGCAATTTGGTTTTCTAGCTTTTTGAGATTAATGCAATAAAAACGGTTATCGCTTAAGGCCATGCATATTCATGTATTAATTCAATTTGTATTTAACACCAGCCAGCAAAGCAGGCAAGCGCGTACATTTCCTTGTTCACTCCTTCTATCAAACAGATAGAGGTGAGGTTGTGGTACTCTTTTGGCAGACCTCTCATGAATAACCAGGTGATGAGTGCAGCTGCGAACGCGTGACCTAGCGCATGAGCGATTTTCCTCCCATGAAGCATACTGCCAATCGTCAGCAGTCGAGTCCGATAGAAAGTAGGAACAACTGAAAATATTAATTATGTACACATAATAATGACCCCAGAACAATTTTATTTCACCTACATCTTTTCTTGATACCTATAAAATTTTATATTGACAAAATCTTTTTTATTTATATTCATAATGTTAACTAGAAAATTAAAGCTACTATATCAATACACACCAGCCACATATCTATAATTTGTGATCACGTAAAATGTTAAGCAAAACTCGGGAAAGTTTGTTGCTTGAAATTCATCCTTTACTGATCATTACTCACTGTTTTGGGATGCGCAAAGAAATGGCTAGGGATGAATAATATTGCTTCTACTTACCTGCATAGTAAGAGGAGTTCAGCGATGCAATGACTGCTGTAGTAATTCCAATAAGGAATAAATGAAACCATGTCATCAGAGAGAGCATCTGCCACAGCCAGTCTAGAACACAAACACAAACAATAACAATTTGTATGTGTCATAAATGCACATGTGACAGAAACCCCTTCATAAGATATTAACAATTATTTCTGATCAACGATACAGTAAACGGTTTTTAAGTGAATGTGTATAGATAATAAAACATTATTTTGCAATGCATGATGATTAAAATAATATATATTGTTCATGTATAGTCCTTGAATCGTCTTATTGATTTGAACCCACCTGTAATCCAAGTTATTAAATGTATAGGGTAAAACCCTGCAATCAAGGTAAATCCAAAGAACAAAGCTGGTAGTAGTATCAGCGACCATACGACACTTGCTCCAGCTCTCCACGAAAACACCTGTAATGTTCATGATGAATTTTCTTACATGTAAGCCACCAAATTAATTTCAAGACAACTACAATAAATCCTACCTATGTTCAGTAATACAAATATGTCCTGGGCACTCAAGTTACTGAAACGATTATGGTTACACTCCCACAGTAATAACTGTGTTATGGGAAATGATTAGAATAATGCAATTTCACGTATAAATTCCTATTTAGATATTAGAAGTAATATATATATAATGCCGTGGAAAATATCCTCTCCACCCTACCTACATTAAAAAATACTCTACCTGACTGACGAACCACTGCTGAAGACTCGGCAACATAATTCCACTTTGTACAGGTTGCATAGTGATGTTGCCTGCTTAAACTTCAAAATCAATTTAAAAAATCTGGAAAATGTAACAATAGAAATCCTTACATAGCGACTATGGCCACAACACAATAGAGATGAAATATATAAGCTGGATTTAAAGTTTATGTATAGGCACATGAACCTACATGACATGTGTTCATGAACTAAGTTCTCAAAAAGAGAAACACACGACAATAAGTGATATCGGAAAGTCCAGCTGTGTTATTTAGGTCATAGAACAAGGGGGATAAAATGGCCGAGGTACGCTTAGGAAAGTACATGATTAATGTAAACACTCTAGCGTTTTTGCATTAACACAAAATATCCCAAATGACCACAATCATATTTGGAAATGTTTCTGTAAACAGAAACACACATGTGAATTGAAGTACGATGTTAGTGAAGAGAATTATAGATCAAAAACATAGACTAGTACTATCGTAACTATGTTATATATATAGGCAACTTATGCTGATAGGGTCTATGTACCCCAGGGTACTGCCGGAACGTACCCTCGCCCACTACTGATGTCGCAAAATTTGAAATATACATACAGACCTGTATGATATCTTTATAAAGTTGGATTGGAGTAGGAAACTGTAAAACCAAGAAGAAATTTCAACCTATATACACTGATGCGCGCAATCCTTTTGCAAATATCGCAATGATCAGGAATGCGTTTTCCTTTAGCAATGTTTACGACATTTTCACGCATTTTCGCGCGAGATTTTTGAAAGATGGCTCCAAGTGTTGTGGTGGAACAGGAAAATTTGTATGATTATCTTAATGGGTTGGAAATGTATAGACTCGCTGACACTTGTAGAAAGGGTCGGGAGGTGAAACGTAACAGGGTAAGGGTTACGAATATTTTGCGGGAACGGACTGGAAATAAGGAACGGGAGCATAAAGCGGCGCGATTCCTGCCAACAAGCGGTATGTATTACGACATCAGCTGAAAGTCAGGGTACGGTTTGGAGTAGGCGAGGTACGGTCCGGCATATTAGATAGTTACCAGGGTACGGTCCGGTACCCAGGGTACGCTCCGGCAGTACCCTGGGGGACATATACCCTATCAGCGCAACGTATCACCCCTCTTATCCGATCTCAATATGGCGGCAGGGACTTTCCGATATATGGCTTATCAGTGATCACACCAAAAAACAGTTATGTATTGCAACACTGTGTTGCGATTGACTATAGACGTTTATTCTCATAACCACTTCAGACTAGTGAACCTAGATGAATACTAGATGAATAATATGCAACTCTATTGATTATACACCAAAGGTAGGAGCACCACTGAACATGTCTTCACCATCAAGATTCTGACAGACAAAGCTATAAACGCAGCCGATTACGACCTACACATTCTACTTTTCGACATGTCTAAAGCGTTTGACAAAATTGAAAAAAAATCAAATACCAGCTAAACTACAGAGAGCCAACCTAGAAACCAATAAAGGAAAAACAGAATATCATCTAATCAGAAAAAACGGCCCTTGTGATTGGAAAATGTGCAAATATTTAAGATCGAAAATTAACACAGAAGAGGATATTAAAAGAAGAAAGATCCTAGCTACCGATGTTTTCAACAAACTGAAAAATATTCTCTTGTCTGGCTACATATCTCTGGAAATTAAACTTAGTATTTTTGAAGCTTTCGTCTCCAGCGTCTTTCTTTATAACAGTGAGCTATGGGTGCTCACGGCACATCTGGAGAACAGAGTCGATGTCATCCAAAGACGTTTCCTGCGAAAGATCCTACATATAAAATTACTGGACAAGGTCAGAAATGAGATACTCTATAAGAAGATCAACACCATCCCATGGAGCGCTACCATTAAAATCAGGAGACTCCGATGGCTGGGCCATGCGATGAGACTGCCACCAACAGCTCCAGCTCAGAAAGCAACCGCTGAGTATTTTCGACCTGTGTGAAGGGATCCCGGACGACCAAAAACAACCTGGTTCGATGTGGTGAAGAAAGATCTTGAGAGAGTAAATTTCCCTATTAGTGGTGACGTGTGGAACAACGTACGTCTACTGGCAAATGATCGTGAGCTCTGGAGGCTAAGAGTTATGGGCGCAATGACTGCTATGGTCAGAAAGCGTTCGCAGTAGTAGTATTAGTAGTATTGATTATACAATGATTCAGGTGGATGAATTAATGATAGGGTCAGCTGTTATTGATTCCGTGCATAAAACTAAGGTAAAGACAGAAACAGTCCAACATATGCATTGATAATTATGTGTCGATACACGTTTCAAATATTATTAGAGGGGTGACAAAACATTCAACATCAACTTCAAGTGCCAAAGCTGTTTTGCTCATGTATAGTCTAGATTGTCATGACCTGTTATTGTTAACAACTGGACGTGATGCGGCCATGATGACGAGGCGCGCCGTTGATTGAAACTTTGTGTCTTTCAATCACAGCCTACGTCGCACCAGAGTTTTATATTTTTAAATATGGGGACCCATTGGACCACCAAATCGCCGATCTCAGGAACTAGGGCATTCTGCTAAGCTAGAACGGTTTCCTACGATAGAGTTTGGTACAAATACGAAAATAACATGCTGTTTAGCGCACTGATTTAGTGGTGTCAGTTAGTCACGGATATGTCACAGTAAGTACTAACCGTATATGTTTCACATAAGTTCACCTATTTTCCACACAGGTGGTCGATCATTGTGAAAAATTGTGTGAAGATTTATTTTTATTGAGACGTTCCAAGTGCCTGTGCTTTCATCAGTCTTGTACGTCAATGCACGTGCGCCAAGAGCCATAAACTCAACACAATTTTATCTCTGTTATTATTTACGCCTGAATGCGTGATTGATCAGGGAGGGGGTGCATGTAAAAGGGAGACATTTTATTTGGGGTTCCGAAAAACACAATTCCACTTGACAATTTCATGGGCCATTTCAATTGGACGCTCTGCATATTGGACCCCCAACAAGCCCTTTGACTGACTAGTCAAGAAACTCAAAGGTCTGTATATTGCTTTTATTTAGCCGCCGATAGTTCTTATTTAGAATAAAGTCTTCATTGTTATCTTCAAAAACTACAGACCATCCGCTGACCGCTGTGGAGACGTGCGCCGGGCTTCGAATTTGGCGCACGTCTCCACTGCGGACAGCGCTTCATACTTGAACATCTCCGCGGTCGCGTGCGCATATCCCGCTCTATCATATCCCCTATTAGCGCTCAGGATCAACAGCAAAGCTGTGCCACACAATCTTGTATCATGTCTCCGAGTCTCTCCGGATTTGAGTTAGCTCTAGTAACTGTAGCCCGCGTACAGTTGCCGGGTATGGCCGCTGGCGCAACTTGCCAGCAGCAACTGTACGCGGGCTATAGTTACTAGAGCTAGATTTGAGTGTAGGCTTCAAGTGCCTGTGGGCACAGGCACTTAGAGCGTTTCAATAAAATATAATGCTAAATAAATAGAAAATCTATTTACTACCAAAGTCTTAATGTTTCTATACTCTCTTTCACCCAGTGAAAAAAATACAGGGGGCTCGGGGCGATTTAGCCCCCGAAATGCCAAAAAGAGCCCCGAAAATGGCAAAAAGAGCCCCCGTAGATTTGCATAGAGTTCAATGAAAACCAAATTTTAGAGTGCTATTTTCATGCACGCGAGCTTGAAAAGTAGCCCCTGAAAAATAAATTTTTCCCTGCTTTCACCTATTATTGCCGACAATTTCCTGTAAATGCCGTCCAAATGCTCATCTGTGAACACACGCCGCCGCCATGCATTGCTGCTGCCGCTGCACACTGACACATATATATATATATATACAGAGTTACACGGTCTTCGATTTCCTAAATGCCCGGCAGTTTTTAATTTTCAGCGTTATCTCAAGTAAACAAAGGTTAGGGTTAGGGTTAGGAATAGACTGAATAATTCTGTCCCATATAACCTTTTTTATGTTTTGGCGAGGGTTATTGGAGACCATCAAGACCAATAACCCTCACCAAAATATAAAAAAGGTTATATGGGACAGAATTATTCGGTCTAGGTTAGGAACTGCCGGGCATTTAGTAAATCGAAGACCGTGCCCGCCTGCCGGGCATTTAGCCACTCTGTATATATATATATGTGTCAGTATGCAGCCGCAGCAGCAATGCATGGCAGCGGCGTGTGTTTACAGATGAGCATTTGGATGGCATTTACAGGAAATTGTCAGCAATAATAGGTGAAAGAGAGTATAGAAACATTATGACTTTGGCAGCAAATAGATTTCCTATTTATTTAGCATTATATTTTATTGAAACGCTCCAAATGCCTGTACGTGCCTGTAGCCTGTAGGCTGTGGCGAGTGTGGGCCTGTCCACGCCGTATCATACCCGTGCCCGTGGCGTATGTATTGTACTATCATATGCCCGTTCACTCACTGTACTACCGAGTACTAGTATTTAGGTAAACAATTACCGTAATAGGCATTAACCAGTACGTTTCATCTAAACAATAGAAAGCTTAGGTCTTAGTGGGTATACTTCAACTATAAAAATCCATACATGTGTGTGTAATTTAAGCAATGTGATGTTTGTCGGCAAATTTAATCAGGACTTCGCACTTGAACAAACCGCCATGTCGATCTCGACGATCACACCTCTCTGCAGATACGATAATCCAGAAAAATACATTATCAATGTTTCTTATTTTACTTATTGAAATAAGTTTACATTAGACCGTTATTATGTTTTATGTAAAATTATTGCTTATGTAAATGTTATTGCAATTCCTGGTTCCACCCATTTGACATTGAAGTGTCACAAAGAAACTCTACGCGGAAGTAGGCAAACATGGAAGATGGCGTATGAGTCACCAGAAAATCAACAACCTGGTGCTCCATTTGAATGTCTCAGTGTAAGTTATCTATATTTTTTAAATGTTAGTGGCTTTTATAAATGCATATATATCTGCTATAAGCATCTGCGCGGCGATGAGCTAAAATACTAGTAGAAAGCGATGTGATAGTACTCTACTCATATGCGACTGGCAATGCCAATGTGAATGTTTGTTGCCAATGTTGTGCTCACACTGTGTAAGTGTGAATCGGGTGGGTGTTAGATACAATAATGTAACCCAAACACAGGATAGGTCACACCCTATCCTGTGTTTGGGTTAGATTATTGTATCTAGGTGGGTGTGTGTCCGTGCGTGCGTGCGTTCGCGTCGCTGGCACTGCTAATAGCAGTGCTATGTACGTGACTATGTCTGTATCTCGAGGCTCTCTCCACAGTATTGTATAGTGCAGTGGTTCTTAACCTTTTTCGAGTCATGGACCCCTTTGAGAAGCTGGTGAAAGCTACGGACCCCTTCCCAGAAAAACATGTTCATGTGCACATAAGCAGATAAACACAAAATTTTGCATACAATTGGGTTCACGGACCCCCTGAAGCCCATCCACGGGGTCCGTGTACCACAGGTTAAGATCCCATGGTATAGTGTATATATAACTGTCGTCATTGGTTATGACTGGTGGGCCAGGGACGCCCACCAAGCTGTGCGATACTAGACCAAACTAGGATTGAGCATGCGAGGCCCATGATGGCATGCCAACGTGTGTCCCCGCGAACATGCTAACCGAAGATTGAATTTTATGTTGGTTGTTGTGATTAATTAAGCAAAGGGAGTGTGGCTAAAAAAATCTCAAAATTAGTGGGTAATAATGTGTTCAAGTCCAATGTCACCCTATTTTGACATTTTCTGACCATCAGACTGCACTATTACATCTCAAATACACACGGCAGTTTTGTGTCACTCTTTACCTCTCTGTGTTTACTCAATTTGTGCCGTGTACAGAATATACTGACTACAACGCATTCACACGAGGTGGGAACAGATTGCTGCAGTTCTACCTGTACCACCAGTTGTACTACAATGGATACAATGCATACACAGAAATTGTGCTGATACAGACACATGGTTGGCATGGATACAGACGAGTATAACGTATGACCGAATGTGTACATGGGGATCGAAATAATACAGGCGGTTGAAACTACAAAAACAGATGGCTGTAATGTATACTCACTGCGTCATGAATAGAATTAATTATGTATAATATATATATATATATTTAATATATATTATATATATATACTTATATATATATATATAGAGAGAGAGAGAGAGAGAGAGAGAGAGAGAGATAGACAGATAGATACTACTCATACTATATAGATATGGATATATATAATGAATCGATAATCTATTTTATTCATGCTAGTCATGTGTGTCCATGTGATTCGAAGGGTTCTCGATATAAATACTGAACATTCACCAGGTAGCTTTCTGTCTTATCCAAACTACCCTTGAAACAAAGCAGGATATAAAAGTAGCTACTATCCAGCACTAGTAATCCTGGATTTGCTCACTCCTCTTGCAGCCCGTTGCTATTGCACAGTTCAGATAGTTCATGTGTGCCATGAGCTTAAATCTAAATTATAAATAGCCGTGCCCACATGAGTCAAATTTTAAATTTAGTGGGAAAGCTGAATGAACATTAAGAGTTCCAAACTGGCAGTCAAAGATCAAGGGCAGAGGACAACCACATTGCACATTGTCTTGCAATATTCCAAGTTACTTCACCTAGATGGGCATTTTATCCGAATTGGGGAAAGACAGCACAGTTGGACATTCCTTGGATCCCAAAAACCTTGGATCTCAGTACAGCAATTCATGGAAAAATCTGGTAGCCACATAAACCCATTACATCTGTCTGTTGCCTATATTATACATGCCCTTTTTCAATCCTGATTTAAATATTTATATATCAGTATTTTCTGTTGAATTTTTAGCTCATCTGACATAGTCAGATGCAGCTTGTAGAATCGCATGAGCGTGCGTCTGTCTTTCCGTGCGTTCGTTCGTCCGTCCGTGCGTCAACAGTTGGGCACAAATCTTAACCGCTTGACGTACGGTCACGATATTTGGGACGTCGGGGGGGGGTCGTCAAAACAAGTTGGGATGTCGAAGCTGGGGGGTCAAAGGTCAAAGGTCAAGAGGTAAAAGAAGGGGGAACATTCCCTCCTTAACTTAAGGTATAGGGAGGAAATGCAGAATTGCGGCACAAATCTAAACAGCTCGACCTAGGCTCGTGATGGTTGGTGTATAGCATCATCAGTGCTCGAAATAAGCGTTGTCCGGTTGTCCGAGACAACCAGAATTTGCGCCGGACAACCTAACCAATCTGAGACATTGTCCGGTGGACAACCAAGAAACCCTATCCCTAACCCTAACACTAACTCTAAACCGACTCGGCTATCTTATATATGCGTGGTACCCAATTAATCTATGGTGTATAACCTTTTGCTTTCAATATTTTGCATCATGAATGAACATCAATCCAACCAACTGCTGTATAGGCTAGGCTGGACAATAATGTTCAGTTCAACTTCAAATCGCGAGTGTTTTCTAGCTCATCAAGAAATCATAATCGAGAATTAAATATCGTGATAATATAAAAATATGAGTCCAGCTGCCTATTTCCAACACCTGTATATGTCAGTTTCGATTTAATTGAGATGGGAACTCAGTTTTGGAACCAGCAAGACCAGCAAGTTGCCCAATTTTCTGGAAGGAGGACCCCCATAGCCCGCCGCCTGTTTCACCCCCCCCCCTTGGAATCTAGACCCGCCACTGAGACCAATTACATATCCTTGGAAGCAGAGAAGCATGAACGAAAATGTCACCTTTTCGGCATGGAGCGCAGTAAAATATGAAGTTCATACACTATTTTGCGCAGCGTTCGGCTGTTTTGGCCCCCCTTGTTAAAAATCCTGGCTACGCCACTGTTTTGGGTATTTTCTGCTCATATTATTATGAGGATTGAAAATAGGAGATTTGGAGAATTTTTTGGGACAACGGAAATTGTTGCGGAACTCGTTTTGAGCTGGGGTTGTCGCGCAGGACAACACATCGTTGTTTCCTTTTCGAGCACTGATCATGCTAGGAAAAGCCATCACTGTAGCCGAAATTGGACGGTCAGAGGTCAAAGGTCAATGGGGCACAGGGGCAGAGTTTAGACATTTTTCGGAGGACGCATGGTCTGACGGAGCGATTGAAAAACTTTTTTTGAACTCAGGTCGGTGACCTAGCCTTTTATAGGCTTTAGTTGAGAAGCGACGCAAGACCAATGTACTTATCCGGCGAACATGCGAAGACGTAAGTGTCGCGATAACCTTTTGACCCTAAGAGGAGGTGTTAAACATGGATTTGTTGACTGTTAACAAAGGACTGAACTGCTTTTGCTATTAGAGCCCCCTCCCCCACCCTCTCCCTCCAGGTGAGTTACCAGACAGTCGGTCGGACCCGTACAACACTACGTACAATACCTACGTTCACACCTACACACGGTCTTGCTTTACCAGTCTGTATGTCGCTGCTGTGCAATGCTACATGTTATGCATTTACGCCCACACTCGGCCATGGGTTACTCGATAGTCGGCTATACCTGTACAAAGCTATCTGTTATGCAGACCTACATCAACGTATATAGCCATGGGTGGGCAGGAAGTTGGCTACAGCTGTAAAGAGTACATGGGCGTGTTAATTATACCAGTCCTAGTGTAGTGATTTTACTCCCCCCTCAATTATTATACCCAGTGAGGGTGCTGAAAATGGTGGGAAAAGCCCCAGACACCCTGTAAAGTGAGAGAGCTGGATGTAAATCCCTTGTAGATGTGTCTGTCATAGAGTGACAGAAACCATCTATCATTGTTCAGAACGTGCTATTCTATTTTAATATATGCATTTGTTAGGGAGGCTTTATTATTGAGAGTTAATTGGGTGCTTTGGGATAATTTTTTCCTGGGATATAAAGTATTAGCATGCACCTATTAGAGAGTGCTCTAATAATGTAGGAAAGGTAATTGGGAGTCAGGATAATTTTGAAATATGACCTCGTTTTTGAAGAGTATGTTATGGCATGTGAAAATTCGTTTGGCATTGCTTCAAAAATGCTATTCTGTATGTGTTATTCAGGGAAGGTATTTTTTATGAATTAGGATTTTGTTGGAATTCGATATATATATTGTAATCCCCCTATGGGCTTTGCAACATAATTATTCTTCTGCTTATGGGTGGGGGGGCTTATCTTCAAGGCATTCTTGCACATTTTTGCAGTCAATTTATTTTTATTGTGCCCAGTGTTTGTGTAATTTTTCGATTTTTCTCATGTTGTTTTAATCGCTTTTAACAAAAGAAATAACAACATAAGAACGTAGCATTACTGGCTTTTGTGATGCTGAACTCTGACGTTTCTGGTTGTTGCAAACAATCATCGTCTATCATTCATTAGGAAGGCAGAGCTTCGCAGCTGCAGCGAGTCGCTCCCGTTGCCGTGGCAACAGCATCCTCCTACTCAACCTGAGGAATGCAGAGTTAGTAACTCGGTACCGGTGCGCGCGCAGCGCATGCAGCACTGCCCACGTCTGCATATTTTGCTCTGCAGGGCATATTGCTGCGATCAGTGTTGTAGACGTGTTATGCGGTGGTGATCAATCAAGAGAGCTTCTCTTACGTGCTCTTTGTTGTTATAGGTATATACGTATGATAGATAGTCACATAGACAACAGGCACGCGGGAATTATTGGTGGTTATGTGGAATAGTGTACGGTGTGCTGCGGTTACTATATGAACGTGATGTGTGCGTTCGCACGGTCGTGAAGTCTAGTGTATGCATGCGAAAGGCTGTGCTGAGGCTATATGGTGATGGAATATCAGGCTGGGATAGAGGTATTTTATAAGGTGAGTCGTTTTCTATAAGCCTATAGGCTTCTTGTCAGGTTTGATACACGGAGTGAGTGCATGTACACTAGTTTTCTCTGTGGCGTTATCTACCAGGTGCGAATTTTTAGATTATCCTCTGCTGATTTAATCTTACCAGGAGTGCATAATGTAGAGACATGTTATCAGGAGAATATAATAGTAATAATAATAACAGTGAGAGTAATCTCTTATTCATGTACTCCTGATCTTATACTTGATTGCGATTGCAATATGCATCATTTATCATGTATATACATTGTCGTGTAGTTAGAACTTTAGAACTAAAAACTAGAACTTTAGAACTAGAAACTAGAACTTTAGAACCCCTAGAACTTGGGGATTGAAGAATTTCGTGCAAATATGTGTGTGGAGGTCATTCTGCAATTTATGTTTTTAAATTGCAATTTATGTGCATAGATATGCAGGCACGTGTTGATGTGGAGATGGAATATGCTAGGCATGCATAACATGCTTGATTAGCATGCACGTGTCATCATTTGCGGAGCACCATGGTGTTAATATATAATGTGTCAGCAAAGCATCGATTTTTCGTATTCATTTTTATCATTGAATTTAATTAACTTGATTTAAAAAAATTAGAATGGCATCAACTCATCAGTAAATTCTTCCAGCTAGAATGTACTGGCTAGAAACTTACCCTATATATATACATACACCCACCTGTTCAGGATACATTGGCAATTATTAGCTCATCTGACTAGTCAGATGCAGCTTGTACTATAGAATCACATGATTGTCCGTTCGGCCGTCCGTGCGTGCGTGCGTCAACAGTTGGGCACAAATCTTAACCGCTCGACGTACGGTCACGATATTCGGGACGTGGGGGGGATCGTAAAAAGGACTCGGGATGACAAATTTGGGGGGTCAAGGGTCAAAGGTCAAGATGTGTAAACGGAGGGGGAATATTTCCCCCTTAACTTAAAGGTATAGGAGGAAATACGGAATTGCGGCACAAATCTTATAACGGCTCGACCTATGCTCTTAATATTCGGTGTATAGTGTGATGGGCAGGAAACCCATCACCAGTGCGAAATTGGAGGTCACAGGTCAAAGGGCAGTGGGGGAAAGGTCAGATATCAGACATTTTCTTAGGACATGGCCTAATGGACAGAGTGAAAAACTTTTTTGTTTCAGCGCTTACCTACCTGTACCATTCTTATCACTTTATTGAAAGGACCATGAAATGTGCTTTCCAAATTCCACTGACGTGTGAAGAGTAATTAGTGTCTGATAACATTTTGACCCTCAAGAGGAGGGGTAAACATGGATTCCTGAACTGCCTCAATAATGTCACAGTGTTTTTATATTCATGGCACATCCATAATCTATAAAGCCAATAAGCCTGGATAGCCGAACGGTTACAGCACAGGTGTTACGACTCAAAGGTCCTTGGATCGAATCCCATCTGATTTTTTATTATTTACCTGTTTTCTGTATTTTTCTATCTTTATCCATTTAACTATTTTTTTCCAATTAACGCAAATATTTACATGATTTATTTACAACAATTTAATAACAACAAATAATTTTTACAACGATTAACTTTTCTTCTTTTTTTTGAATAGGGTTAGGGCTAGGATTAGGGTCACAATGCACCATAAAACAGGAGTTTCAGGCACGCCATTTGTATCAACTAATGGGATTTGGGAGGTATGCAGAATGCAGAAGGTTGCTGAAATGATACGCACGACTTAAATGTTACGTTTTATAACCGTAGCAACAGACCTCAGATGAGCTCAGACGCTCTGCGGCTCTTGTTAATGCTGTTACGGTTCAACCAATGTTAGTTTATTTTGAGTGCTAAGCCCTTTTCTTAATGATATTTACCTCCGCCCAACGGAGTTGGAGGGGAGGTTATGTTTTCGCTCTCGTGTGTTCGTGTGTAGTGTGTTAGTGTGTTCGCGCGATCGATATTAGCGCATCGAGTCAGCGAGCCAGCCAGCGCAGCGAGCCAGCGAGCGTGTACATGTCAGCGAGCAGCAGCAACGAGCGGCTGCTACGAGCGAGCGAGCACATTGGCGTATATCGTCGGTTATTCGTGTGTTCATGAGTCGTATGGTGTATGGCGTATGTCGCTGACAGAGGTATGCTCTCTCCGTGAGTGCACTCTGTCTAGTTATTGTGTGTGATACCAGCGAGTGCACTTGCCTGTGTTTATCCTGTGATGAAGAACGTATCACTTGATCTCCATATATGTTCCTACACGTCGTGGTAACTACGGGGATTGGAAAAAAATATGCACAAGTGCTATTGAAGTTTGAGTGCGAAAAAGTAGAAGTTGCTAACCGTGTTCATATTATAGTTAGCAATTTATATTTTTTTCCACTTTTTTGATAACAGTAATGGAGGTGTCATCAGAGGCGTGTGCATGCCAGGGTTTCTTATACATAAGAGGCACAGTGGCGCACCGCCGTTGTCAAATTTAACATCGCCGTTGTGAAAATGTTCCTGTATTTACCCGCCGTTGTCAAAATAGTGTCAACCCAAAAATAAATAGATCACCACGTGCTTCTGGCATATTTAGATTGCCATGTGCGTTTATTAGGTCATGTAACACGGGGTCTACACTTTTCCTACGGCACGCCTTTGAATCCATCATGCGCATTTTTCCCCCAAACTGGCCATTACCTCCTTTGTCTAAATTTCCCTCAGAAGAAACCCTGCATGCATGCATGTGCGAAATCACCTCACAAAATGCATTATCACTATTAGATGCTTTTGCAAATTGCTCTAATGAGATCCTCTGGCAAAAGAACATGTATCGCCTTGGACTAGACTCGCGTTGTAGCGATTCACGATGACGATGCATATATGCTGCAGAAAGCCAGTCACGGTGCCTGCACGTGGGGTTTTGAGCAGTTTTGATTATAGGTTATTGTATAATCGTATAATCGTATAACCATGAACGTAATAGAAACTACTGTAGTCGCCAAATAGTTGCTGTACACCGGATACTGACGACATACCTTAAGTTCAGGTTTGGAGTGTATCCGTTATATCTGCCTATACATACGCATGCACGCACACACACAATAATGTGTGAAGTATGTGTGGCTGTGTAAATACACTAGGTTTAAGACTCTGAAGACGCTTAGCTTTTTTTTAAATTCGTGATAATATTTCAATATCCACCATGAAGCCAGTCCAGGAGCAAGGTTCAAATGTGACGTGTGAAACTAATGCATATTGTGATTATATCAGGAGTGTCATCATATTGACTGTCTATATAGACAGTCGTGCTCATCTCGCATGCGGAAGGTCGGGGTTTTGAATCCCGACCGGGTCATACCAGACTTGAAAATGGTACACACTGCTTCTCTACTTTTCACTCAGCAAATAGAGATAGAGTGTGGAAAGTTAACTCGCAGTGCTACCGGTGGACTAACTCCCCCCCCCCCCCCCGCTGTAGTATTTACTGTGAAAGCAGAGCTACGTGGCCTCGGGTTAAAAGGAAACTGAGATAGGCACCGCTCTATGCTTCATATAGGCACGGCCGGGAATTTTTTTTTTATAACATATACCATAGATGCATATACACAGTCTATATTATGACACTCCTGATCATATCAGTATATATATCAATGATTAAAATTGTCTTCTGTGAATTAATTTGATATTGTAGTTATTGCACCAAATTGACTTAATTATTTTTGCAATCAGATATTAGGTCTAATAAACCAATAAAGTAAAGTATGTAATTGTTAATCTCATTAGAGGAATATGATGCTTATATACATGCATAAATAATGTTCTTCTGATATTACCTTGTACCTAGCAATTTACTTATTTATAACAATATAGATTTACAACGAAATATTTGTGTGTGCGTGCGTGCGTGCGCGCGCGCACGTGTGTGGTGTGTGTGTGTGTGTGTGCACGCGTGTGCGTGTGTGCGTGTGCGCGCGCATGTGTGTGTTATTTAAAACTGTCTAAATTGCACAGTACTTTAAAATGTTTGAATTACAAAAAATCACTTTGTTTCATGCTCGGCTTGGAATTTCGCTCCATCATAGACGTCTGCATTAGCTAAAACAATACCACTTTTCAGATTCCAATTGTGCTAAAAAAGGTACCTCTACAGAATTCCGATGGGACCACAACATTGAAATGCGGGTTTCGGATAGGAGGCGGCATCGACCAAGACTATAAGAAGAGTCCACATGGGTATAAAGATAATGTGCGTAAATTCAATTTGAGCAGAAAATTACATCCTAATGGAGTAATAGTTAATAATTTAGTATTTTAAGTTTTTTTTTTTTTAAGTATTTGAAAAAGATGCAGCTGCTCTGGACTATTAGGGATTTATGTCCCAGGGTTACAAAATATTCATCGTCCTAATTTTTGGAAGTGCATGACGTGCCTAGAAATGAAAACGAATGAGCTGTCAGAAGCCTTTTCATTGTGCGTCAGCATCTCCACTGCATGCATGATCCCTATGTGAGTGTTTGCGCTTTGCAGATGGATAATAATTCATTCAAGTTAAAATTCACACAGAGATGAAATACGGATCGCGCATCCCAGCAGCGCAAAGTTGCTATGATATCAGTTTGGGGATTTGATAGATTTCCCATGGCTTCCTAAACTTGTAAAGTTAACAGTTCAGCATGTCTAGCTTTCGAGACAGCATTTCAATGTGACAGAGCAATGTAGTACGTAGATAGCGTGCATGCATAGATAGACACGTGAATTCCCGTGAGAGTTTACTGTATGGAAGGTTGCAATTTTACATCAATCACCAGAGGTTTTTTGTCTGGTACGGTAGGGATTGTGGTAGGTAAGGTACTATAACTTATAAGGAATTATTCTATTACTAGTGTGGCTCTGCTATAGATTATGTGTGTGTATATATTTATATATACATATATATATATATCGGGAGTAGATAATAAGGAATACCTATTATCTACTCCTGATATATATACAGGGTTCTCCAAGAGCACTTATATATATAGCCTGGCGGCTTACAAGGCTATCGTCGAGCCCCACCATCCTATAATGCACCCGCTACTCTAAATATCATAGCCGCCATGCGAAATATCATAGCCCCCGGACCCCCCTAGCACGCAAACCGCCTTCGGCGATTTGCACCTATAGGACCGTAAAGGCAGCACCCGCCATGCTATAATGAAAAAGCTTGGAGAACCCTGATATATATATATATATATAATATAGTAATGCATCATTCTACTTTTTGACATCTATTTTCAATGCCACTTGTACTATTAAAATTTAATGGGCCGAGGCTCACTGTTACAAAAAGACATCGCTTGGGGTATGAGCAAAAGCATCACTAGTTGTTCGTCTTTCTTCATGATCTAAATTTTTCATAGAACTGTGGGAAGGCTTTTATTGCGACCAGGGGGTGTTTTTCTACGTGCATTAGCATAAGTAGTGTTTTCAGACGTTAACAGCAGATATTTAAATCTCGCTAAAATGAGTAAAGTAATTTAGGTAATGGAAAAACGAAAAAATGCTTTATAAATTCACATTGTAATGCTGCTTTTTCCACATTAATATTTAAAACAAATATATCAAGTAAATTAGCAGATTAATTTATGTTTAATTAATAATGAACCTGCCAAATTCCAAAATCTGTCTATCTGTAACTCTCTTCATCTATCAATTTATGACCCATCTATCTATCTACATAGTCATTCATCCATCGTTCCGTCCATCCATCCAAACATGCCCATTCACTCATTTTATGTTTGAGTCGATGCAAAAGCCCCTAAAGAGATGAGTGATATCCAGCTTGTCTAATAATTAATTAATGAATTTTAACTATTTGAGTAATATTCTAATCAACGTTTAATACGGATACAACCGTTAATATTTCTTCTGCAGGGCGTCTACGTCACGTACGTCCAAGAGGACAGCCCAGCGGCGGGGGCCGGTTTACAAACTCATGATAAAATATTGCAGGTACTTATCTAGAGTTAGTTCATTAGAATACTTACACGGTGAGCTTGTGAGATTAGCTTTTGTGGGTCGTTAGACGTCCCCGATAGTGTGCGATTGATTTTTCTCGGTTACTGCCGACAGACCCCGTCAGAATTTACGTATCGGGTAACTGAAACCTAAGTAGGTTTTGAGTCGGCTGTGAGCGTAATTGAAAAATGCTCCTCTCACATGCTGCTACATAGTATGAAAAATGTCACGATATAAAAGGGAATATAAATCAATAAAAAAGAGCCAAAATTCAACATTGCCTACGTCTGGTTTATCATCGTGCTGTTCAATCATTTTCGTCATGGGGCTACTATAATCTATGGTTATTTAATTTTAGGTGCTTGACTGTTAAACTGCAGAAACCATGGCAGTTATTTGTATTTAATTCTATAATGGGATTATATTGCTGTAAAAACTCACGGAGCAAATTAATTGCGTGATACATCGCTTGGGGCTAATTTGATTAGATTAATTACGTTACGTAACATTTGTATTATTATTCATAGGTCAAATGCACGCATGCACAGTGTGTCTGTATATGTGCATGTGCTTCTATACATATTTCAGGACACCATTTATACAATGTATTCTGCATGCTGTCCACCTTCATATATTCTGAAATATATACCACAGATTTGTCAATCTAATCTAGTGGCGTTGTATGCTCTTGCTCATTGAAATATATGATAGGGGACTGATATGTGGTTAACTAATTGAATATTCTTCCATGAATATTCATATTGTACAATGCTCATTGCAGTTTTGGTTCACGCGTTTGAACGTCATAAATGATTTTAGATATAACGGAAGTCTACTTACTATTATGGTATCAGATATGCAATGTGCACCGTGGGTTAACGCGGATGGAGAGTGGCTCGTATATAACTAGTGCGTGCCCGCCCCTTACACCCATGATGAAACCGTGGATGGTTGTACTGAATTTCATAGTCACGTGTTTAAAAAGTAGTTCACGTACTCCATTAGAAGCTGGTTCTTGGAACAATGTAACAACGGCGCTAAGCTAAACTTTGTGAGCGTAAAGTGTCTAGGCGTTAGATGCTGGTTTTTGGAACCAAGTAAAAACTGCATTGCGCTAAACCACGTAAGCGTAAAAGCATCTCTAGTCCTTAGGATTGTTAATGGCCTATTCCGTGTGTCCCACACGCGAACAAATGCATCTCTGAACACTGGAGGCTCATCTCAATTGAGCGCAGAGGGACTGTTCATGGCTTGACAAAAGATACAAACGAAAATTAGTCTAAAGGCAAGCACGTTCGTTCTAAAGTGTCACGCCGGTTTTAGTTGCACAGGGGGATTCACTAACGATTTTCCTATTCTAGGCTAAGGAGTGGATATGAGGCGATCCCGTTGCTTCCAAACCTAACCCATTACGTTCACGAAATGCGAGGTTGAATAAATAAAACAGGTGTTATGACATACCTAAGACGAATGAATTCTGCTAGTGCTAGCCAGTTTTACTGCATGATAATAAGTAACTATATATATATATATATATATATATATATATATAAAATGTTGCCAGGTTCTTGAATAGTGGCTCTCACAGGCTGTGAGTGGCTGTGAACCAAGCCACATTACTAATGATTAGTACCTCTTTGAGAGGTGGAGAGGCTTTCATAAGTCACTGGTGAGGAGATAAGCTTTCTCTGCCGCCTTAGCTACAGGTTGCACCTATTCTAGCACAGGCATAGCACTCGTTCAGCCTCCCATACCAGGATTACAGTAAATATATTCAAATAATTGAACACCGCATAGCATAACACAATGCAACATAACATCTATCGACTTTTGACGCGAATGGGCGTTTATCCATCGTCCAATCTCAGTCTAGCTCAAGTGCAGCCCACCGTTCAACATCAATGACAGCAACAGCAGCAACAACAACAACAACAACAACAATAAAAACAACAACAACCACAAACAGACAACATCAGTAGATAGGTATTGACGGTAATACAGATATACAGGTATAGATGGGTCGATGGCTCACAGGCACTTGGAACGTCTCAATAAAAAATGATAATGGTAAATAAACACGAAATGTATTTACTACCAAAGGCTTAACGTTTCTCTGCTCTCTTTCACCTATTATTGCCGATAACTTCCTGTAAATGTCGTTCAAATGCTCCACTGCAACACACGACTACACCGCACGCACACCGCTGTGCACAAACAACACATATAATATAGCAGGTAGGAAAGCGTGATGCCAAAATTCGCTCGACGCGCGCTTGATTTCACACGATTACAGACCAAATACTCAACCAATCTACTCCATCTTTGTTGCTTGAAGACCAGTGTTCACTTGTTCGAATTATAACAGTTTTGTTCTTACCTACTCCAGCCAGAGATGTCTCGTGAAATCATTCCCAAAATTCCTGAGTGTCTGTTTATACACGAGTAGGCCTAATGGCGGCGCATTGCATGCCGGGATGAGCTGCTGCCGGCCTCCGAGCTCCAGCTCGAGCCCCGCAACTCAAACTGGGCGGTGCGATGTAGCTATTGCGTCACACACACGACTATAGTGATTGGTCAAAAGATCGAGTAGCGCAGTTTGGGATTTTCGGATGACAAACAGGCACTCGCTCCCATTTACAAAACCGCGGAGTGGGAATTTTGAGAATTATTTCACGAGATGTCTCTGGCTGGAGTAGGTAAGAACAAAAGACAGAGTTATAATTCGAACAAGTGAACACTGGTCTTCAAATAGCAACAAAGATGGAGTAGATTGGTTGAGTATTTGTTCTGTAATCGTGGGAAATCAAGCGTGCGTCGAGCGAATTTTGGCATCGCGCTTTCCTACCTGCTATATTATATGTGTTGTTTGTGCACAGTTTCGTGCGTGCGGTGTAGTCGTGTGTTGCAGAGGAGCATTTAAACGGCATTTACAGGAAGTAATCGACAATAATAGGCGAAAGAGAGTAGAGAAACATTAAGACTGGTAGTAAATATATTTCGCGATTATTTACCATTATTATTTTTTATTGAGACGTTTCAGTTGCCTGTGGTATGGCTTTTCGATGCACGAGTTGGAGCCAACTCGGGTATACGACTGTACATGCAAATCTGACTTAACGAGAGAACAGATACCTCGATTAAATCTTTAATAGAACATAAAATTTAATTAATTTAAATAGCCCATGGATACTTCTCTAGCATATTCTTTAATTTTGTTTACGTATTTTTAGGTAAACGGTTATGACTTCACCATGGTCACGCATAAGAAGGCGGTGGAATACATTCAGAAGTTTGATATCCTAAACATGCTAGTAACGCGACCAGGAGTCCCACCACTACAGTAGCACCATCTGGCAGCAGACTTTTGTAACGTTTGGGCACTGACTAAAAATACCTATGTTATTTTTTGTCAGTGATTTGGGTAAACAAAGTTGTTGTGCATATTTACTTGAATATAGAAAAAGATTAGCAAGCGAAATTTATTGGCATGCACATTACTTGGTGTATATTGCATGTTCAAAGTTAAAATGTATTTTATAATTATTGAATATCTAACATTTTACTTAATGTAGCGAATCGATGTGGAAGTTGTGATCACTGTTTATAATCGTAATTTTGTTAGGTGTAAAATATTAATCGTACAGCTGATAGCTTGTGAGCCTGTAGCTGCCTTGTAGCTTGCTATAGCCATGCCAACAGATATAAGTGGCTGTACGGTATTGGAACCAAGCGCCTGGGTCTGTAAATGAAAGTGGACCAATTTGTTTTGTTACAGAGTATTTTTCTGTCCCCTGGATTTGATATATTGTTGTCATCAGTGTACGTTTATTACGTATCGGTGCACGGCTTTGCTGAATATCCACGCGTACGTGTTTTGCCCATTTTAGGTGGTCATGGTGCCTTGTGGAGGTTGTATCTTGTTTATATTATAGACACTTTCGAAAAAAAATCGAGGCAAAATCAAATGATAACTTTGGCAATTCACTGTGAGCTCAACCAGCAAGGCTCTGCTGCCCCTTTTCATAATAATATTAATTAATATGTACTTGTTTTTATATCAGGCCTAATGTTGTAGGCCTAAATCGCACGCGAATCGTTCTAAAAAAATAATGCTTACAAATATGGTATGCTTCAGTTTGTCAATGTATGACTCTGCAGTGAAATTTTCGATGGATTCTTGTAAATTGAGATTATTTATTTTGAGCAATCCGTGTTGTGCCCATGCCATGTAACCACGCACAGAGACAGCTAGAGCTGTGGCGACCAGACGATAAGCCATCTGTGCTGTGGCGGATGCAGAATCGAAATGCGAATCATTAGATTGTGATTTGGACTTTTATTGTCGATGTGCAGGTTTGTGTTGTGTGAACTCCCCCCCCCCCACGCCATGCTATGTTTAGTAAGTTGACTCCTTCACGCTAGGTCTGGTAACTCAACTCCCTTGTGTTATGCCTAGTCCAGGCCCGTAGCCAGAACTCCTTAACCCTAACCATATCAGATAGTTACCAGGGTACGTTCCGATATATCGAACCGTACCCAGTGTACCCTCCGATAGTACCCTGGGGTACATAGACCCTATGAGCTGTAGGCACAGTCAATAATGCACGAAGGGTCGTTGTCGTATAATGGCGTATAATATGTACCCGAGGTAACTATTTGATAAGGTTAGGGTGTTAGGGCTAGGGAGTAGGCGTAGGCGACATACTCGCCGACACCTCGGATACTACATATACGACAACGACCCCTTCAGCGTCACTGAATACATCAGCACGTTTTCTTCACTATCATTACTTATCATTATCATTACGCTACTCGCATTGTGATCTTTAGTGTTCCGGTATTCTGCCTTCGTTTTCTTCAGCTCCTCTCTGCATGCGTTGAGATTCCGATTATATACCAGTAACCATAGATATAGAATTTCAGATTCTGTATTTTATATCTATGATTACACTTCAAATCGGCTATTTTCAGCCAACGGAAACATGCATGATTATACACATTCCTACGTGTGCCTTCCAGTTCCAATGCATTCTGGATGCAACATGTTCTGCTTGCATCTATGACAAATACGACATACGCATATACGCGCTCCTATGACATTATTTGTCATAGGAAGATTCTTCCTATGACAAATATTGGCGAGTCAACTTCGTTCCGCTTTACAGCTGAAATTCACTGCTTGCGTTCATAATAGCGCTCCTAAACGCCTATGATGCGCACAACACATACAACTATATTTGTCATAGGAAGAATCTTCCTATGACAAATAATGTCGTAGGAGAGCGTATATGCGTATGTCGTATTTGTCATAGATGCTAGTAGAACATGTTGGTGGATAGAATCTTCTGACCAAATTATAACCATACTTATTACCTTGTCCGTCGTCGTCCCAGTTACTACTCCTATTTGCCAATATATGAATGAAGTTGTTAACGGTACACACTGGTGAGTTAAAAATCAAAAATTGTGCAGACAATTTCAAACTGGCACCACTGGCAGTTCCAACAAATCAGTAAAAATAAAAATAATGTTTAATAAATCTTATTGCACCACTAATAACTCTCCTATCTGCGGTAATAAACAACTCCTCACAAAAGCCTAACGTCGGCGCGAATGCTGACTCTCTGCACTACGCTGCGTTACTGCCCATACATAATCCTATGCACCTATAAGATTATCAGGATTACCTAGGTATTTATTAGCTCTTAGGATTATGTATGGGGAGTAACGCAGCGTAGTGCAGAGAGTCAGCATTCGCGCCGACGTTAGTCTTTTCTTTTGCAGTGAGGAGTTGTTTATTACCGCAGATAGGAGAGTTATTAGTGGTGCAATAAGATTGATTATACATTATTTTTATTTTTACTGATTTGTTGGAACTGCCAGTGACGCTCACTCATAGGGTCTATGTCCCCCAGGGTACTGCCGGAACGTACCCTGGGTACGGTCCGGTATACCGGAACGTACCCTGGTAACTATCTGATATGGTTAGGGTTTAAGGGTTAGGGTTAGGGAGTAGGCGTAAGCGACTCCCTAGACTCGTTTGTGGAGTAGGCGAGGTACGGTCCGGCATATTAGATAGTACCAGGGTACGTTCCGGCAGTACCCTGGGGGACATAGACCCTCTCAGCCCTAGAGCTGCTGAATACGGCCATACTGATGAAAGCTTTTCGCGTCGGTCCCTCACGCGATCGTAACTGCGACAGCCCTGCTGGCATTCTCTTTATCGGTGAATCGGGTCGATAGTAAGCTCTGTGTCGGCACTGTGGTGGCGAGCATGCGCTCAGCGCGAGTAGGAAATTGGCAGCGTATGGTCTGAGGGAGGATGAAGTTGGATCAGGCCTTTTTCTCAGCGTGCGATACACACGGAGATCAGGGTTGCCTTGCGTTGGAAGAAGCCGTGTAGTGGGTACGGCTGCCATGTTAGCTCGTAGCATTTTCTAGAATCGCGAACATTTGTACGTAGCTAGTCGCTAAGCGTCTGCGTGCAGCAGGGACATTTTTACGGAATCAAATTATTTTTTAGATTGGAATAATTGAAAGCTAATAATACCACCCTATCTCGTCTGTTTCGTCGTCCGTCTCGTTTGTGTGTGGTGAAATGATGATTGCGGTATCTTTTAAAATTGTGACAGTTGGGTTTCTCAATAATTAGTATGTACATCATTATGCAGATTATATTATGAGGCTGTATTATTATGTAATTATGATTATTAATCATTTTTAATTATAATAATGAATAATTATTAATAATTTGTGTGTACGTCATTATGCAGATTATATATATGAACAGGGTTATAATCGTAATTATTCAATTGTGATTTTAGGATTTACTTAAAACCTAGCATTGCCAAAACCGTGCAAGGTAAAAAATTTATTGACAAATGACCCATTATATTTAACTCAACATTCAAACTTGTATACAATCAAAGTGAAAATTACTTTTGCACGTACATATGGCTTCCTCATGAAAGTTCCACGAGACACAATGATGAAAATGGTGGGAGGTTTTGGTAACATGGTGTAATCACTGTCAACACAGTGACCATCTAGTTTATTGCGCCTCATTTTAGTGCTCATTCGCGAGCTGTGCATCAAACTTTTAATTAACATTTCCTCAGTAACGAATCCTCACCCACCTCAAAAAATCGGCGAGATAAGTAGTTCCGACATCATAACGTTGCTGTGCTGACATTGGAGCAATGGCATTGCTGCAGAGCAATGGCATTGCTGCAGAGCAATGGCATTGCTTGGAGCAATGGCATTGCAGTGCTGACATTGGAGCAATGGCACGAACCAAAACGTAATCTGACTAGGAACACACAGTGCCTGCTCCGCACGTCTGCTGCCGTTGTTGCTAGCGAACCGGCCGAAAGGGCTTTACATTTGCCGATTTGACATTCATCCAGCTGCTGAGATTATAATTGGCATAGCCACGCAGCCACGTTCGGTTTGTCGTTTCGCGGCATCGAGCGAGTTTTCGCCAGGGTAGTAGTATCGGGGATATCACATGTATTGACGTTGCAGTGAATTCCAAATATAATTACCATCAGTGAAAGACCGACCGTGGGGATATCGGGCTAGTTGTATAATGCGCATATAAAACTGGATACTGTGCGGCCTCTGCCAACGTGTATATAGCGTATCAATCAATCATGCAGACTTTTGCTTCGTCTGGAAAAGCAAAAACCTCGTCGAAATTCGCTCAAAAAGATGTGCCTCCCGCCATTCCACTAAATATCAAACTGGCTTCCTTGCAACATCTCCTTGCTCATTGCTATGTATTACCAACACATATAGAGTCACATGGGGGCCAGTCACAGAACCGTATGTCACATTATGCACCTGAAGGTATCTAGGGAATCCTAACCCATACACAATAACTCCATCTGGTCAATTTTCTGGGCCCCATTTTCATCTTGCTGTGCATCAGCGAGCAAGGTAATGCGCCTAATCTGCTGATGGGCGCAGGCGCAACGCGGGTGGCCGTGGTGCTTTCACAGTTGTTGCTTCGTCGACTAACACACAACTGCCACGAGGGATAACGACAGACGTGGTGGCTTTCAACGGATTTTCGTTTCCGAGACGATTCTTTATGGCGATGGTCAAGCGTGTTAGCGCTCAGACCGATTTTTCTCATTTCCTTTAGTCGGTCGCCCGTCTATAGATCATCAGGATGATACGATACGATACGATACGATACGATACGATAAATTGTAGGCATGCGTCCTCATGCAGTTGGTGGCAGCAGCTTAGACCCCCGTACCGACTGCAAAATTTGATTCTACATCAGACTAGTCCGGGCCAGACGCGCGCTAAGTCTTAACATGCAGCAAAATACCCAACCAGGCTAAGTTGGAATGGGTAGACTGTGCATGCTCAGTTCAGTGTGTTATACTTCACACAGCACACAGCAATGTGTGGATAATACATAACATGTAGGCCTACAGGGGTAGAAATTAACTTTTGAACAAGTGAGTTCAACGGAATCCCTAGCTACCCTCAAAAAGCGGGAGTCCGCAGAAGAATGGGGGAGTCCGCAGTGTGAAGTTGAAAACCAAAGGACATTTGCGGTGCACGTCTCCGCTTACAATATATATCCACTGGACCAAATAATAATTATAATATGAAATGTGCTCTATGTTCATATCATAAATCCAGTTGCCCAAGTATCATAATAAATTATGTAGGGTTAGAAATGGGCTTTTTCATCAAGCGGCTACTTGCTGCCCGAGAAAAAAACAAGCAGAAAACTTACTCACACAGGCAGAAACTTGAGAAAACCATAACAGTTCCACTCCCTCCCTTACCAACAGTACTGTCCTATTGATTCTCCATAAGGGACCTAGTTTGACCTCCCCCCCCCCCATGTGTTCATTCTAGATATAGTCAACCTAGCTCTAGTACTATAATCAACCATGCTGCACATCAAATGCACATGACATGCAACCCAAGTTTAACATCAAATGAAGTACGGACCGTAACATAGGGTCAATGAGATCAGAAAGAAAGCCCTGAACTGGCCATCGCTTGCAAAAAAAATTATCTGGAACTTGCGTGTTTTTAGTTTGGTTTATTATGAGTTTCTTGGCAGCAAGTATTTGTTGCCAACAATAACATTGAGAGCATTCAACAAACTGACCACTGTAGGCAACAAAACTGCTGCTTGGTGCGAAACATGATATTATCAGGAGTGTAAAATATAGAAATAATATATTATACACTCGATGACTCCTGATAGTGATATTATGTATCAAGTGTTGTAAACTAAAAACTCAGACTGTAGTATTGACAATTTGCGTGCGACAATTTGTAGTATTGA